AAATTTTTTTATGAGACAGTTATAACTTTGGTATGAAATATTCCTTTTCTATGTAAAGCTTTTGTGATTCAGGTTCTTCCAGCTATATTAAAAAATCAGAAAAGGAAACAGAACACAACACAGGATGGTTCAGCAATTAATCATTCTGTGGCTTATTCTAAATTGTGTTATCTACTGCGGAAAAAAAACTGCTTAATATGTTAAAGTTTTATACATTTTTCACTGTCTGCCACTGCATGAAATATTTAAAGAGCCCTTGGTATAATGAAATAGCTGTTAAGAAAAACTTTTTTTATGATTAACATTATAATTAAGATGCAAGAAATGTATTCTGTACCAGCTTTTAAAACTGTAAATAACACATCCTTGAGAAACAACAACAGAAATGTATAATTTTTCAAGCTGACGACACAATTTAAATTACTTAGTCAACTTTTAGAGGGAGACAATTTAATAACTATTACAAATGTTAAAATAATTTTTATGAATGTCACATAAAACCTACCACAGTATTTCTACATGTTTTAATGGTACAAAAACATTTAAGAAATTTTAAATATATCTATTGATCAAAATAGGCAGTGATGTGGTGATTTTTAAAAGCAAAATGAACATTTTTTCCCCTAACAAAAATATACTGTAGAAATGCTTGCACTATTGGGATTTAAAATTAAGAGCACAAGTATACACTTTCCTGGGCAGTTTCTTCTTCTTTTACCTCCTTATGACCTCCTTATGACCCAATCTACTCACCCACCTCTCTCTCTTTTCTGTCTCATCAAGTCAAAATGCTTTAGCATAACCTGTTCTAGCATGTTCTGTCTAAAATGCTCTAGCATGACATGCTCTAGCATGTTCTGTCTAAAATGCTCTAGCATGACATGCTCTAGCATGTTCTGTCTCATCAAGTCAAAATGCTCTAGCATGACCTATACACCACTTTTCATCCTGTATGAGAGTAAGATGTTCCAATCTAATTACAAATACTATTTGGAGCCAAATAAACATTTTTTAAATCATAGGGGACTTTCCTGTGCACCATAGGGTGTTTAGTAACATCCCTGGCCTCTACCCACTAGATGCCAGTAACATGATCACAACTCCCAGAGGTGACAGCCAAAGCTCTCCAGATATTGCCAAATGCCCCCTGAGAAACACAATCATCCTTCCTGGAGAACCACCGTATTCAAGCAACTTACATACATAACGTCATATTCACCTTTGAATATATTTTTCATTGTATGAGACTTAGTTCAGTAAATATTTGTTAAACAAATGCAGAATAAGATGGTGTTTTAGTACTGCAGTACAGTGTTTGGAATAACTCTTTAAATGTTAACTCTCAGCTTCACTTAAAAACTTAAGAATATGTCCATTTAGATTTGTTTATTTTCCGAAATAGAGAGAGAAGAGAAGATAGTGCTTTTCCAATATGATAGATCTCATTTGAACGCTGTGGTTCATTCATTTCTAATAGGATTATTTTTTGTAGATTTTTTTCTCTTTTTTTCTATTATTAGAGAAAAATGACATCTAAATCTCTTCCAAAAAGAGAACAAAAAAAGGAGGAAAGCATGGTAAAAATCGAAGAGAAAGGAACAAGAAAAAAATAAGAAAGAAAGAAAGAAAAGAATAAGTCAGTAAAATACAACAGACTTTTCCATACTTATAAACACATTTATAGAAATATTGAATTTATATAAAAACATGTTTAGGCCAGGCACGGTGGCTCAAGTCTGTAATCCCAGCACTTTGGGAGGCTGAGGTGAGGGAATTGACTGAGCCCATGGGTTCCAGAACAGCCTGGGAAACTTGTCAAGACCTCGACTGTACAATAAATCAAAAAATTAGCTGGGTGTGGTAGGGCTTGTCTGTAGTTCCAGCTACTTGGAAGGCTGAGGTAGAAGGATCGCCTGAGCCCAGCAGGTTGATGCTTGGGTGGTCATGAGCGTGCCACTGCACTCCAGTCTGGGCAATGGAGTGAGACTTCAACTCAAAAAAAAAGAAAATTCAATTAAAAGCCATTGACTTTTCCTTATGTTTAATACTACAGTAGATTTTGTAACATAGACAGTGGAAAAACAGAAAAGAGAGGAGAAAGAAAAAGTTTAAATAAAGAAAAAGAAAAAAACTTTAGTAAGTAGAGATTATGTGGGAATAATAAAAGTAAACATAGTTGCTTTTAAAAATTCACTTAGCTGGGTGCAGTGGCTCAAGCCTGTAATCCCAGCACTTTGGGAGGACAAGGCAAGAGGATTGCCTGAGCCCAGGGATTCGAGATCAGCCTGGGCAACTTGGCGAGACCTCATCTCTACAATAAGTCAAAAAATTAGCTGGGTGTGGTAGTGGGCACCTATAGTTCTAGCTACTTAGAAGGCTGAGGCAGAAGGATCAACTGAGCCCAGCAGGTCGAGGCTGCAGTGGCTGTGAGCATGCCACTGCACTCCAGTTTGGGTAATAGAGTGAGACTTCAAATAAAAAAAAAAATTCACTTAGAATTCTAAAGGATCACAGAACCTTTTATACAACACATAGATTGATTAAATAGCACTTGAATAATGAATGATTTAATGCAGTTTGAAACAATCATTTCCCTGCAGAGTATGAAGTAGAAATTAAAAGGACAAAAACACTTTGTGTTTTTTGAGTCTAAGGTAAATAAAAAATGTATATTTTTTCAAAACAATATTTATTTATTTACAAGTTGAATTTCACTAATTCTATATTCCTAATCTAAGAAAACATGAGAAAAAAATCCCAAGTAATGAGGAAAACTCATTCAAAGGACTTAACCTTTATAACTGTCATCAAGGAGATGAGTACACAGTGGTTAAGAGCACAGTCCATACCTGTGCTGAATTACAATGCTGAATTAGAATCCAGCTCCCCACTTTTTAGTCAAGTGACCTTAGGTTTGGGTTCTCCCAGAAGTAAAACCTGAGTCAAGCATTCAGGCTTAAGTGACTTACCTGGGAAGGGAACCCAGGAAACACTGGTAAGGAAAGGAGGAAGTGAGAAAAGGGAAAGAGTAAGCAAACTAAAGAAGAATACGTTATCAAGTCAGACCTCGAAGGGGAACTGGAGTGTCATCTCACAGGAAAACTCTGGAATGATGTGTATACAGAGTACACATCAAAGTTGTCCCAAATAAAAACCAATTCCTCTCATCAGGGCACTGTACAAATAGGAGAGTCCCCATCACTGAGTCCCCAGAAAAACACATGAGAAAGCCAGCATTTAGTTGTACCCATGTGGAGAGCACTGAGTGTTTTTCCTTTTTCCCCTTGCGTTTTCATTCCCAAAACTCTGAGGCAGAGAGGGACCTAGAAAAGGATGGGGAAGGAGGAGCAAGTAGCACATCAAGCTCCCTTTATATGCTAAGCTCTTTGGGCCTGAGCATACCTGGTTGGGAGTAGTTGGGAGAATGATTGGTGTTAGGGATAGCAGAGATGTGAATAAGTTTCCAGAGAGCATGGTTGATAGCAGTTATGGAGAAAATGCAAATCAATTCCCTACCTATATCCTGCCAATTTGTTATGTGAAAAATTGCATACTCTGAAAATGTTACAAAAAAGGAAAAAAAATCTAAAACTAAAATCAGTAATATTACATCAACAGGTTATCATGATTACAAATCCTCTCCTTCTCCTATATGTTTTTAATGTTGTCATATAATACGTACAATAAAAAATTTTGCCAATTCCATATACCAAATTTATACACATACACACATATTCAGCCCTTTATGTATGTGAGCTCTGCATCCACAGATTCAACTAACTGTCGATGGAAGATAAGGCTATAACATTGTTTATATGATATATTAGAATTATATTCATATTCATAAAGTTGAGAAAACATGAGGGAGCATGGTTTCAGGAGAAATGTTTTACATATTTCTGTTTATAAAATTACATGCATGTTCTCTTTTCTGAAGATATTTCATGAATGAAGACAGAGTGTCTTCTACTTATTTTTATTATTTCTGTAGTATAATTCATTAGATTTTGAAATGTGAGCCTGCATTTGGCTCTTTTTGACTCATGTTGACATTTTCAATAATCTCTCTGAAATGCCAGATCTTAATGCATATAATCACCAAGTGATATTAAGTCACAAAGCAACTTGAAAGAAAAATTTTTGAACAGTAATATCCTAGAAGCTTATGAGGTGGGAACTTTGCCACATGAAACATATCTGAGTTTCAAATAAAATACCAAGCCTCCCTCTTCACCCATTTCAAAGAAAAACTTATATTCTTTTTCATATGAAATGAGGTTAAAATGAGATTTCCCTAATGGAAACCCAGACAAAGAGATTTCACATTTGAAGTCAGGATTTAGGGAATTATTATCATCTTTTGGAAGTTGCCAAGGCCAGAAACCACTGAGTCTTTTGTACTGAATTGAAAAAAAAAATCATGGTTATAAATATTGAAAACTAAGTTTTACTTAAAGTACTTTTATGAAGGTTAAAAATAACCAATGAGTCCATGCAGCTTTAGTATTAGATATATTCTAGTGTTATAAAAATTATTTTCAGCCGGACTTGGTGGCTCAGCCTGTAATCCCGTGCCTTTGGAAGGCTGAGGTGAGTGGATTGCCTGAGCCCACAGGTTCGAGACCTGCCTGGGCAGTGAGACCTCATCTCTACAATAAATTACAAAATCAGCCGGGCGTGGTAGCGCATGCCTGTAATTCCGGCTACTTGGAAGGCTGAGGCGGAAGGATCACCGGAGCCCAACAGGTCAAGGCTGTGGTGGTCAGGAGCAGCCACTACATTCCAGTCTGGGCGACAGAGTGAGACTCCAACTCAAAAAAAAAATTTTTTTTTCATGAATGCTAAAAATATTAGCATTCTTTATTAGCCATATTCTCCAGTCTTAATGATATTTCAATTTATTGTAGCAAAAAATATTAGTATTATTTATAATCATTCTGATGTTAAAATTTAGTTTAGTTTTCAGTTTACCTTATTCTCAGGTCCTATGTGTTACTTACTTTGTGAGGTTTGAGTGTCTATGAATTTCTTTATCAAGGCATCAGTAGTTTGGGTATAAAGACTGAGAGCATATCTCAGAGACTGAAGGTCTGGGCTTTTCTCCAAGAAATTCTTTTTCAGGCCATTTCCTCCTGCATGAAAATATTGCTAAAAAAATAGGAAAAGAAAGAAAAGAAAACAAAAAGCAGAGGCATTTAGAAAGAAGTATTGGAGAAAGGACTTGATTGCACTCATAGTGAAGTTCAAACAGAATAATACAATATGATCAATGCACGTTAGGTACAAAGAAATAGCGTTACCATTTGCCCATTGCTAAGTCATTATCATCTAAATCAGGTCCTTTGGATATCTCTGAAATGATGTGGTACATCACAGACCCCGGATCCTTGAAGAAATACACCTTTTCCTCTCATTCAAAATTTTAGTTAACCACTGGGATCATGAAGGTACAGCTGTCAGAATCCTTATAGAATGACAGGTCTAGGTAATGATTATCAACTTGGGTACTGACTTCTGTTTCTAGAGCATGAGAAAAGTATCTAGAATTTTCAAAATTTCACAGGGAAGATAGCTCCTGGTAACATATTTTCTGGATACTTGTTTGAGATTCTAGATCGGGTTCCTGCTGCTTCATCTTACCCACCCTCTAATTACACAGTGGTGCAGATACAGGTGAACCAAATGAAGCAGAGGTCCTTGGAACTCTAACACTCCCACCCTTGCATCTAATGAACATCATAAAACATTGAGGTTTCATTTTGCTGTTGTTATCCAACAAACTCAAAATATTCCAGTATTTATAAGCAAGATAGTAGACAAAATATATACTCATTGACAATAAATACAGTCACTGAGGAATGTCAGCATTTTTCATATTGCAAGTGTTATGTACAGACATCTCTTTGAAAGCAGACTGTCTCGAGATATGTGACAAAACTAAAAATGCTTTCTCCAACCATTTATAGATGACAATATATTTATAATACTCTGTTGAGATTAGACAAATGTTTCTCATTTCTTCTTCCTGCATGAACAATGCTAGAGGAAACCAAACACTCACTGATAACCACGGCTCACTTTGCTCTATAATTATCACAAAATGTAATATATTGAAAAAGCTCAATAGATAATTCAGATACACTCCCGTAAGTGTGTATGTGTCATCCCTCCATCCCAGTCCTTAACAATTTCTGCAGTGAGACAATACAGTGAAATAAAAAATCATAATTATCTCAGTTTTCTCCCCTATTTAAGAGAAGATGCAGAAAAATTTTCTGAATATTTGCAAGCATCTAAGTGCACTTTTAAGCATGGGAAAGATTTGGGGTGTAGGCCAGAGAGAGAAAGTAGGCAAAGGGGATATGTTTAAGAAAGACTGCTACAATTGCAGACACTCTCCCCAAGGAGAATAAACCTAAGGACACTTACAATTTCATTTATTGATTCTAACTGGGTGCCATGTGAAAACACAAGTTGTGGCAAAAACATATGGTTATGAAGGAGAGGCACAGAAAAATTAGAAAGGCCTTTGTTTACTTGTTAAGAGAAGACAAAGATATAATATTTAAAATTGTTCTACACTTTGATATTCTTATACAAAATGTTAAAATATTTTCACATACAGGAAGTATTTATTGAGAACTATTAGTCCTGAAATACTTGAGGTGCCTTGATGGATAAACAAATATGATAATTCCTTTTTATGAGAAACATGATATAATATTTAAAGAAAGAAAAAAGATTAAATGGATGTACTGGGGGAGAAAATTTAGCTTGGTCTTGACTCCGTATCTGTAGAAGAGTGATGGAGTGATCTCTGGAGATCTGTTTCCATAACAAAATAATTCCCTCTGAGACTAAAGGGCAGTGTTATAAACTGAACCAAGAGTAGAAAGAAAACACTCAGAAGGAACACATTCTCTGTCAGTATATCTCAAGCAAACCCCAGTCTTATTAAACCTGAGCATAGATGCTAGAAGTTTACATTAAAGGAGGGGGAGAAGGAGGCAGAAAAGGAGAGAGAAAGAGGAAAGGAACCAAAAATGATAAAATAATATTTTGTCATTTCTTGGGATAAATGGGCAAAAAAAAAAAAAAAAAAATCAGTGAGTATTCTTTCTATTGTATCTGGATTATTTTTGCTTTTCATTGTCTTTGTGCTATGTTAAAACTCTTTAAATTGCAGAAAACAAGCAATAATGTAAATAATTTTTTCCATAGAGGTACAAATTAATTATTTCTGGTTTAATGTGATTGATTATTACTCTATGGATTGCCTCTACTTGTAAATTTATTCCAGCTTTTCTCATTGCTTATATATGTTGGGTTATTGGAATTTTCCATTGAGCCAATTGTAATATCTTATTTGTTCCCTCACGAATTGATTAGTGAAATAACATTTTTGACACATTTTAAACTGCACATCATAATTCTACCCTCTTTTAAGAACCGTTATTTAACAGTGTACATAAAGTAGAATGAATAACAACATTCATAAAGATGGCTAGAATTTTTACTGTCTAATTTGTGAGAATTGAGCAATGTACTCTTCAATCACCTTAACAATATCAGTGGTAATGTCTTCCTTCCTGCTTGTCCTTTCCCTTTCTCCCTTAAAAAATATTTGCTAAACCTGCATCATGAGGAAGACTTTGTGCTGGATGCCAAGGATATAAAGCAAAACAAGTAGAGTGGTTGTCCTCAAAGGGATTGTAATTGAGTAGAAAACATAACCAGCATGTAAGCAAATGACTACAATAATACATTGTAGGTATTAGAAAAATATTTTGAAAATACAGACAACAGATGAGGCAAGAAATTCTATTGGCCAAAGAGTCAGTAAAGGCTTCCAAACAAGTGACATCTTTGGTGTTTATCAGTTTATTCATACTGCTGTCTTTAATTTTGGCAGCCACTAGAGGATACACTGTACTATATTAGAGTGGACTAGAGAAAGAAGACAATCCTACTAAGTAACCAAGAGAAACTCTGGGAGTCTCAGCACTACTTAAGAAGAATTGAGATACTTGTAGTTCTTACAACATATTTTTGTTACAGCTTCTAAAACACTGTTTGCTACTGTTATTCTATACTCATCACTAAACTTGTGCTGTCTGGAAGCTACAAATTGCCTCCAGGCAATAGCAGCTCTATAGGAGTTAAGAGATGACATTGTATCTTAAAGATTCACAATGCTTATTAACATAGTAAAGGCTCTGAAACTCATTGTGGTAAGGACATCTGCTTAATCTTTTATTAATATATCTTGTTCCTAAAACCTTCAAGAGATGAACAATTACTTCAAGAGACCAAATCTAAGAGTAATTGGACTTCCTGAGGCAGAAAAAGAGACAGAGACAACCCTGGAACAAATATTCCATAAAATTATTCAAGAAAACTTCCCTCATCTCATCAGTGACATGAAAATTCAAACACAAGAGATTCAGAGAACCCCTGCAAGACAACAAATGAGAAGACCAACTTCCATACACATAATAATTTGCTTAAACAAAGTAGGTATAAAAGAAAAAATCCTAAAGGCAGCAAGAGAAAAAGGTCAGACTACCTACTGGGGAAGACCAATTAGGATAGCCACAGATATATCTATAGAAACCCTTCAGGTTAGGAGAACTTGGAGCCCAATCTTCAAAGTCCTCAAAGATAATCAATTTTAAACAAGAATAACCTACTCAGCTAAACTAAGTTTCATCAGTGAGGGAGAATTAAAATCTTTCCAAGACATACAATCCCTAAAAACTTACGCTGCCTCTAGACCAGTCCTACAAGAAACACTTAAGAAAGTATTAAACACAGAAGAAAGGGAAAAAAGAACAACAACATTATTCACAAGAGTGCAGGAAAAAGATTGAAAACACACACAAATCAACCCCCAAATCAAAAGAAACACAACAAACAAATAGGATCAACAACACCTCTATAAGAACCCCATGACAGAGATAAACTCTGACATTTCAATAATTAGCCTGAATGTGAATGGACTAAATGTACCACTGAAAAGACATAGAATGGCAAAATGAATAAAATATCATAAAGCAACAATATATTGTCTCCAAGAGACTCATCTCACCAGAAAGGATATTCACAGACCCAAAGTAAAAGGATGGGAAGGAAAATTTAAGGCAAATGGACCACAAAAGAAAGCTGGAGTTGCAATTTCAATCTCAGACAAAGTACCCTTTAAGCTATCAAAAATTTAAAAAGATGAAGAGGGTCACTATGTAATGATAAAAAGGTTCAATCCATCAACAAGAAATATCTATCCTAAACATATAAGCATCCAACAAAGGAGCACCAAAGTTCATAAGGCAGCTTGTATGAAAACTTAAAAAAAGAGATTGACACTAACACTCTTTAGCTGGGAATTTTAATACCCCACTCACAACCCTGGACAGATCATCAAGACAAAAAAACAGCAAGGAGATTAGGAACCTCAATAAGACTCTTGAACAAATGAACCTAATTGATATCTATGGAACACTCAACCCAATGACCACAGAATATACATTCTAATCATCGCTGCATGGAACATACTCCAAAATCAACTACATCATTGACCATAAATCAAACATAAGCCAATTTCATAAGACTGAAATTTTCCATGCATCTTCTCAGACCGCAGTGGAATAAAAATAAACATCAACACCAACAAAGTTCCTCCAAAATCCACAAAGACATGGACACTAAACAGTATGATGCCAAGCAACTCCTGGGTCAATGATGAAATCAAAACAGAGATAAAAAGTTACCTGGAAACAAATGAAAATGAAGAAACATCTTACCAAAACCTCTGGGAGGCCTTAAAAGAAGTAGTGAGAGGGAAATTCATATCTTTACAAACACACATGAAGAAAATGGAAAGATCACATGTTAACAGCCTAACAAGTCACCTAAGGAAGCTGGAAATGCAAGACCACCAAAACCCTAACTTCAGCAGAAGAATCCACATCACAAAAATAAAAGCCCAAATCCAGGACATTGAAGACAAAAAGATAATATAAAAAATAAATGAAATAAAAAACTGGTTCTTTGAAAGAATAACCAAGATAGATGGTCCCCTGGCCAGACTGACCAAGAAAAAGCCCAAATAAACTCAATCAGAAACACAAAAGATGAAGTCACAACTGACC